CAAAGGTATGGTAAAAGTTTCCAAATAATGTAATGCAGTACCATATTGAAGAGCTTAAATTAGGTGCCTAGAAAGGGCAATCAAGTAGTAAATAAATATCTTTAAACCATAGGAAAAGAGAAAAGTGAAAAAACAATAATGGTCGGTGTAAAAACGAAAAAAGAAAGGAAACTTATAAGAAAAGGAAAAGAAATTAAATGATAAACACAAATAAAAAATGAAAGGAGAGGTTACTAGGTAGGTGAAATTGATGATGATCTGAGTTGGTATCCAAGGAGCACATGCACTCTAACCAAACAGGTAAATTAAAGCCTGCAGATGTCCAATATGTAACCTTAAAGTTTTCCTCATCTTTCAATTCATGCATCTATGTATCTTACTACTCACCAAATTAAACTACACAAAAATTCTATACCTACAAATATAATACACACTACCAGATCGAAATATGGGCTCTTTCCATGTACTCACATACATTGAAAATATAAATTTTGTCATAATTATTTACCTTTTTTTTAATGTGCTTCCAGAAATTCCTGATAAGTTTTTAAATATCTTTAATAATAAAAAAATTATGATATTCGACGTAAACAATTTAAGACAAAACACTGCTGGAAATTATGGAGTTTCCGACCACTTGAAAGTGATCTTAAATCAAGTCGAAAGTCTTGTTCCGATCACTTTTGGTATCCGGAAAAACCTTTATTGCTATTTCCGACCATTTTTTACTTTCGACTTGATTTAAGATCACTTTCAGGTGGTCGGAAATTTCATAATTTCCAACAGTAAAACTTAATATTTGTCCATGATTACTTTGAATCAATAAGTTTTTAATTATAGCAAATTATTATATTTAATTAAAACTCCATAATATTATTACATTTTCACAATCAAGGGTGTATCATTGTGTCGTTAAGGTGTTAGTTTGTTCAATTTGATATGTTTAAGGGAATATTTCACTTTATTACGTTATATGATAGTTATATTGTGTAAAAGGAAAAGAAGCAACGATAAAGTTAACACAAACATATACGGAGTAGTTGTTAAATTAGAAAAGTACAATTGATATATAGCAGCTAGAGGGTAGGTTGAATTTAAGCCATAATAAGTTATTTGAGTTGAGTAGCATTGTCTTCTTCTCCCACCCACTATACAATACAAGATAAAGGGGAAAGTGACAATTCAATGGGGAATTCATCTTCTTGTTTCGATCTCTATATCTAATTTAGGAAAGGGTATTGGTTTAAGGATTAAAAAATGTGGATATATGCAGTGATGTTGGCTAGCTAGTAGGTGGTGGTCTTGGATTTGCAGAGATCGACACATTTAAGTTATTTTATTATTGGGAGAAATATTTATAGTTTTAAGAAATTTAGTAAGTTTACTTAAATTAAGAAAGCTAATAGATAGTTTTCACAAGGAGTTAATTTAAACTTGTAACCTTATAGTTATTAAATCAACTATCCGACTAACTCGGATGTGGTTGCCTCTGCATACTACTACTCTAACCACAAGGTCGAAATTCATACTTTTGTGTAGGGTGCACCAGGCACCATGCATGTTAAAGAGCAAGAGCCAAATTCAGACTATTTACTATAAAATAAGAAATTACTATAATTAACTTTTATCCAAAATAACATACAACATCTTTTACAATATGAGATAACTGTGACAAAAATAGATAACTAATTTTTCCAATCAAAGTTAAAAGTGTCCCAAATATGCAAAGTACAAATGTACAATGGAGTTTAATTTCATGACTATTAATTTACCTAATTACTCTGATCTCTTTTAAAGTTCTTGAAAGCTATGCATGATACGGAATAATATAGTGACTATTTCATAATTGTGCAACAATAGTGAGACACAAAAAAATAACAAAAACTACCTGAAAGGGTGGCTAGATAGGTGAAACATGATTTTCGTACTAAAAGGTCACGAGTTTGATTCTTGTCAACATCATTTTAGTCAAACTCGTCACACATGGTCTTCCTAGCGCAATTTACCCTTTTTATATGGTTTACAGACTATCACACAATAACGACACAGTACACACTCTTAGGAACTACTTAAACTCTTTTAAAATTCGTAATTCATTCGTATTACATGCTAATGGAATTTCTCATAAAAGTTTAACTACTTGATTCCCTCCGGCACCATATATAGAAAGAAACATGGAAATTTTCATGATGGGTAAGTGTATAGTAGATGGTCCCCTTATTAGCTTTGATGCCATGGATTTTATACCCACATATATATGGATACATGTTACCTAACCCAATGAAGAAGAAGGGGTTTTGGATTTGTCATCATGGTTCACAAGACGGACTCCTTTCCAAATTAGCCTTCTCCTTCAAAAGCAACTATGGAAGCTAGTAATACTCTTCACCATCCTCTCACCCAATCTCGTGAACTATACACTATTAATACAGTTGTTATACTGTGGACCATGATCCAAATATTGGCCCTGTTTGGTAAATGGATGTTAGTTGTTAGCTGAGTGGGTTAATTAAATGGTATAACTAGTTGATAACATTAGCTGATTGTAGATAAATGTTTTAGTAAATTAGTTGTTGGCTGATAGTTGTTTGGTATAAATTCTTTTCTCAAAAAGCTAATTGAAAAGTTGTTTTGAACAGCTTTTTGAATTTTAGCATTTTGGAGTTACAAAAAGTTAATTAACCAAACACTTATATTGATTTTTTAACCAAGTCAAACAATTAATAGTGGTCAAATAAGCCAAAAGTGGCAATCGTTATACCGTGCACCAGGGCGCACATAGCAATGTGCACCCCGTGCCTCTCAAAACGACGTCGTTTTGTATTCTGTTATAAAATTATGTATCTTCAGGTATAAAATTCTGTACATTCGAAACAGGGGTTTTTTGTCTTTTTAAAAAAGATTATGTATTTTCAGGTATAAAATTATGTGTTTTCATGTATAAAATTATATGTTTTCTATTATATAATTCTATACATTCGAAACATGGGGATTTTCAGTTATAAAAATTATGTGTTTTCAAGTATAAAATTATATGTTTTCTATTATACAATTCTGCACATTCGGAACATGATTTTTTTTTTTTTTTTTTTTAACAACAAACACGCGAAAAGGTCAAAACGACGTCGTTTTGGGCCAGGGCGCACAATGCACTTTGCGCCCTGGTGCACGGTATAATTTGCCCAAAATTGGCTGATAGGCTAATTATTTTACCAAACAGGGCTATTGCAGTGTGGACCATGATCGTCGAATGAAACTGTAGTATAATTAAAATGATACTTTAGTGTTACTATAATGAAATTTGTGTGTGTGAAAAATGAAACTAAAAAACAGAGCACATTATTGTCAAATGAAACTATGGTATAATTAAAATAATACTTTAATATTGCTATAATGAAAACAAGTGCGTGTGAAAAATAAAACGTTCCATCCCATAAAGGCCCATTTTGTTTAACAACAATCGTTATACCCTGCACCACGGTGCACACAGCACTGTGCACGTCTCTTAAAACGACGTTGTTTTGTTAAGTTGTGTAGGGAGTCGACGCAATAGATTGTATGTATATTATGTTACGGAGTATATAATTATGTACATTATGTTATACAATTATGTACATTCTGATATACAATTATGTACATTTTTAATACAATTATGTACATTTTTTTTTTATACAATTATGTAATTCGAACACGCGATTTTTTCAACAATTAAAACTTGATGTGTATTCTGTTATACAATTATGTACATTCTCATATACAATTATGAACATTTTAGTATACAATTATTTTTAAAACATGAATTTTTTTTAACAAATTAACAGGAAACACGGAAAAGCAAAATTTTCAAAAAAAAAAAAGTGCAAGGGTGCACAATGCAATGTGCGCCCTGGTACACGATATAAATTGCCCTTTAACAACCCAACCCAATAATCAATGGACTTGGGCCTTAATGGGGCTACATTTGAAGAATGAAAATAACTTCTTTTGTTTTTGGAAAAAATAACATTTTTTTCGGTGTATATATATGTATAATAGATGATTTTAATTATTTAATTATTGGCATGAGCATTATTCTCCTACAAATTTAATAGTTCAGCCTTAATGGGACTATATTTAAAGACTGAATATGGCTTTCAATCCTTTCATGTTTGTTTATTTATTTATTTATTGTTTTTTTTTTTATAAAAAAACTAATTGATAAATCAGGTCTAAAAAATACATTGGTGTAACATGTTGTATCAGTCATGTTACCACTGAAGTTAATAGTACCCAATACAATCCACTATATTTGTGCGATTGTACAACATACAACACAACACTATGTCATTTGTCATCGTAGAAGTTCCTTACATTTTTATTTTATACATTCAACTTGCTACATTTGAGTAATTTTATAAGGTACAATGTAACACTAGCATTATTATGACATTCGATATCATAAAAAATTCCTATATTTTTATTTTGTGCACTAATTTTTATCCCCTTTTCCTTTAATTCTGACCAATCAATACAAATTGCGTGACAAGAATATATACAGTACATATAACATTCTCATATATATATATATATATATATATATATATATATATATATATATATATATATATATAATACCACAAAATTTTGTACAATCTTTGTCTCAATTCTCCTACAATTGTTATACCATGAATCAGAGTTTATATTGCATTGTGAATCCTGATACAAAAATTTTGTACATTCAGTTAACATATTTTGTACCTACAGTTAAGAGTTTGTACATGTAAACAAATAACTTGATAATTGCTGACACATAATATAGTTATAACTACAGGTACAAAACTATCAATTGCAGGTGCATAATGTGTCAACTATAGATACAAAATTTGACTTGATAATTATTGACACATAATATGATAGCTACATGTACAAAAACTATCAACTGCAGATACAAAATATGTCAACTATAATTATGTACACCGGATACTTGGGTGTGGCAATGGGATAGTAAAGGCGTTTTTACGATGAAATCTTGTTATAGACATCTTTCTTCCCAAGCTACGGACACGAGGCCATGGGCTTCAATCTGGAATCTTAGTGTTCCACCTAAAGTTAGAATGTTCGGTTGGCAGTTGGCAGCTTCATATTTACCAACTCGTGATGCACTGTTAACACGACATGTTGATTGGCAGTTGGCAGCTTCATATTTACCAACTCGTGATGCACTGTTAACACGACATGTTGATTGTAATATTATATGCCACATGTGCAGGGAAGAGAGTGAGAGTGCGCATCATTTATTTGTTGCTTGCCGTGAGGCTCTTGTGGCGCGGAGGAAACTGGGGCTTCTGATCACCCATGTCGCTGGAGATACTGTGGGTGAGTGGCTCTTTAATTGCATTGCAGTGTTGTCACATGACCAAATGTCCAAGTTATTGATGTTGTGTTGGGGTTTGTGGACGGCCAGGAATGACGTGGTTTGGAATGCTCAATCTTGGGACCTGGAGTTGATGTTGCGGCGTACCATGGTGTTTTGGGAGAATTGGGGTGCGGCACAGTGTGTAGATGGCGGACAGCAGACTGGGGGGACATTGGGGCGGTGGGAGAGGCCGAGAAGGGGAAGGCTCAAGTTGAATACGGATGCTTCAGTTGATAAGCAGCATGGTAGAGTGGGGTTCGGATGGGTGTTAAGAGATGATGATGGTAGATTTCGGGCTGCCAAGAATGGAAGGATGATGGGGCTTTTTCGAGCTAGAGAGGCCGAGGCCATGTGTATGCGAGAGGCACTGAGTTGGCTGAAGGATACGGGTATGGGTAATGTGGAGGCCGAAACATATTCACAACTGCTTTGTAATGCTATTCATAGTGAATCATTTTTCTCTTCGTTTGGGTTTTTGGTAGGAGATATTAAAGAATTGGCATCTTCCATTAATGATGTCGAATTCCGGTTTATAAAACGATCTGCGAATCAGGTAGCCCATACTCTAGCCAGGGCGGCTGTTTCTATGCCAGATTGTGGGTGGTGGTTTGATGTGCCACCGTTTTTTCTTGTAACTTGTCTGATGATATAATGAATTAAGTTGTTCGTACCAAAAAAAAAAAAAAAAAAAAATATAAAATCTGAGTGTTATTTTTGAATTAGGGTCTACAATACAAGGTAGACCACCCTGGTCCATGGTATAATTTGCCATTTCTCCTATATATATGAGACAAAATTTTGTACAATCTTTGTCTCAGTTTTCATATTATATTGGTAAACTTACTAGAGGGTAGACGCATTTCTTTGTTTAAATTATAGTTTCATCTAAAAAATGTTGTATTGGTGCTCCAAGATTCTTCATGTTACAGACTTACAGATTCCACCAAAGATGTTTGGACGTATTTCACTTAGTAATCCTATGCAACTTAGATTAAGATTGTAGCCACGACAACTGCCGATTGTTGAATAATAGTACCCATTGCAAAAATCCACAATTTTCTAGTACCTTCTCTATTTTTCATGAACACTAGAATCTATTGTTCCGTCCCACAGAGCCCATCCACACTTACTAAATTAAGCAAAAATAAAATTAAAAATTAAAAAAATATTACCACAATATTTTATATAATTTTCAAAAAAAAAAATTAAAAATTGAACTCAACTAAGAGAGTACTTGTTGACAAGAATCGAATTCATGATCATTTAGATATGAGAATTATACCTAGCTTCACTCATTAGACAATTTATTTTGAGGCCCGGTTATATATGTATATATGTATGTATGTTAATTGGATAGTTATGCTGTGGGCTCGTGCCCAGCGTGCTTCATGCGCACGGATAACGGTGCCGTCAGGCACCGTTATCTTCCCTTTTTTTTTTTTTTTTTTTTAAATTTAATTTCAGACCGCTTTGTTATAGGAGCATATATTCACAACTTTGTGTTTATAATTTCATAACTGTACATTCATAATTCCATAACTGTACATTCATAATTCTATAACTGTACATTCATAATTCCGTAACTGTACATTCATAATTCAATAACTGTAAATTCATAATTTTCGAAGCTCTATGTTCATAATTGTAAGTTCATAATGTCAGAGTTCTATGTTCATAATTTCATAACTGTACATTCATAATTCCATAACTGTACATTCATAATTCCATAACTGTACATTCATAATTCCATACTGTATATTCATAATTCCATACCGAACATTCATAATTTTCGAAGCTCTATGTTCATAATTGTAAGGTCATAATTCCATAACTATACATTCATAATTCTATAACTGTACATTCATAATGTCATAACTGTATATTCATAATTTCATAACGAATATGCCGTTAACGGCGTTTCGAACAATTTTTTTTTTTATAATTAAAACAGCGTCGTTTTCCATGAAAACGACGCCGTTTTAGCGCCGTGCGCACCTTGCAAGGTGCGCACGTGCGCATAGCATAATTTGCCATGTTAATTATAATTTCATAGATTTGAATTTTGTCCTGTTTATGACCACAGTAATCCGAGGAAATGCTCCTAGGGCAATAAGAACAATACGCCTGGCCCAAGGCATATATATATAATTTATTTATCTCTTTGTATCTAACGCTATTTAGTACTTACGTACAAGTTACAACAAGAATTCCCTCTAATGCCCTGCATGACTTGAAGTATCCCTATCCTTTTGGAAATAATAATAATAATAATAAGGGAAAATGACACTTCTTCCCCCTAAGTTATATACTTATAGCACTTTCTCCCCCTGAATTATTTAAGTGGCTGTTTTTCCCCCTGATAATAACTCAGGGGGAAAAAGTGCCATTTTCCCTAATAATAATAATAACAACAACAACAACAACAACAAGGAGCAGGATGATGATGATGATGATGAAATTCAACAATAATGTAAGATATTAGCCATTTGCACTTATGTTGAAAAATTGACCTCTAAGTGACTATTTTGTTGATGAATTATTTTGAGTTAGGTCTACTAACCATTTTAATAGAGTGAGAATGGATTTAAACTTTCCCGGACGAAGAGATAAATTTTATATAGTTATATATTCAAATTAAAATAGTTAATGAACTCAAAGTGTATTTGGAAAAAGATGGGATCGGAGGAGATCAGCACTATTCTATTCTAAAACTTCGAAACTCCCAAAGAGTATGTATGAGGGGATTAGTATATATTCCATATATACGTTTGATGTTTTCACCTTTTAAAAAGTGTGAAATATATTATTATTATGAAATTCTCTCTTACCCGCTTGTAATATTACTCTTTCTTTTTTAATGATTCAGTTATAAATAAGCTCATGACCAAGTAGTTGTGCCTAGTGGAAAGTAATATATACTCATAATCACAGCTTGGAGTTGAAGCAAACATGAATATTCAGTTCTTCATTACCCTCCAACTACTCATCTTCTTTGCTCTCTCTTTATCCTCCTCCACCACCTATGGTAAAAAAAGTTATATCTTCAACTCAGAATTTTCATTATTACTAATTAGCTAGGTAACAAAGTATTTATACGTCACTCTAATTATTATATAGTATAGCATTATTTACATAATATTTGATACAATATGATTTAGGAGTACTTTATATAAATGACACAATTAATTTCACACTTTGAAAGTGACAAAAATATTTTCACTTTTGATCTTTGATTGTAGCCGGGAATTCGAAGCTTTTCCGGGAGTACATCGGGGCGGAATCCGCCGCCGTGAGGCTGTCGGACGTGCCGATAAACCCCGGGGTTGAGTTCCACTTTATCCTAGCATTCGCCATAGATTACACCACCGGCGGCAAACCATCTCCGACCGATGGCAAGTTTAACGTTTTCTGGGAAACCAACCACCTAAGCCCCAGAGACATCTCCGCCATAAAGTTGCATCACGGCAACGTCAAAGTCGCGATCAGCCTCGGCGGCGACACCGTCACGAAGCACCAAAAAGCCTACTTCGCCCCCACCTCCACCGCGTCGTGGCTGAAAAACGCCGTTTCTTCCCTGACCGCCGTGATCGAGGAGTACAACGCGGACGGAATCGACATCGACTACGAGCACTTCAAATCGACGCCGGAGGAGTTCGCGGAGTGCATCGGAGAACTCGTCACGCAGCTGAAGAAGAGCGGCGCGATCTCCTTCGCGTCGATTGCGCCGTTCGAGGACGACGGCGGCGAAGTGGCCGGAAATTACCGGGCGCTGTGGAGGAAATACGGCGGCGTGATTGACTACGTGAACTTCCAATTCTACGCGTACGAGAAGCTGAGCGTAGCGGAATTTGTGGGCAGATTTGAAGAACAATCTTCCAAGTATGACGGCGGGCAGCTTCTGGCGAGCTTTGTGAACAAAGGCGGCGGCGGATTGGGTCCCGGCGATGGATTCTTTGACGCTTGCCGTGAGCTGAAAGGGAAAGGGAAACTTGGTGGAATCTTTGTCTGGTGCGCAGATGAATCTGCCCAGTTTGGGTTTAGAAATGAGAAGAAATCTCAAGATTTGTTGGTCAAATGAATCACTGCAATGGGTATTACAGGAGTTCCTGAAAAAAAAAAAAAAGATTTGAAGTTTGTTAATAACAAGAAACATATGTGTAAATGATCATACATGAACCTTAGTTACTTTAATAATGTAAGATTTTATTTTGTGCCATTCAACTTTACCTAAAAAGTTAGTTAGGTCTTTAAACAATCGTTATATCATGTACCACGGCGCACATAGTACTGTGCATCCCGCGCTTCCCAAAACAACATCGTTTTGATGAGTTATGTAGGGAGTTGATTTGATTATGTGTATTTGTTTACAATTATGTGTATTTGTTTATATAATTATGTACATTTTTTTATACAATTATGTACATTTTTTAATACAATTATGTACATTTTTTTAATACAATTATGTACATCCGAAACAGGAAATTTATGTGTATTATGTTAAGAATTTATGTTTATTATGTTAAAAGTTGATGTATATTATGTATTATGTTAGATTATGTGTATTATCTTTTTTTTTTTTTTTAAAGTATGTGTATTTTGTTATACAATTATGTACATTCATGTATACAATTATGTGTATTTCAGTATAAAATTATGTACATTTTTGAACATGAGATTTTTTTTTAAAAGAAAATTAACCGCCAACACAGGGTAGCGAAATTTCAATAAAATAAAAATAAAAAATCTGAAACGACGTCGTTTTACATTAGGGCGCACAATGCAATGCGTGCCCTGGTGCACGATATAAATTGCCGTCTTTAAATATTTTAAAGTTACAATTAAACCATCAACATTGTATTTGGTGCAATGAAGCCCAAAATCCGGTTAGAGTCGCCTTCTCCGGTGATCTGAGAAGGCAACACTGGGTCGCCTTCCTTCCCCGCGACCAGTGACCGTTCGCCTGTCACCTATCCTTTTTTTGTTAGAATTTGAGCTAAGATGTTGCCGAAATCATAGTTATCTGCTATCATAGGTCACTAATCGATTTTTGGACTTCATTGCACCAAAATACAATGTTGATGAGTTTAATTACAATTTTAAAATATTTAAGGCATAATTGACTTTTCAGAAAAAGTTTGAGAGCCTATTTAACCATTTCTATTTTTATTTTTATTTTGTTGATTATGAGTTCTCGACTAATGGACTATAGGTAAGTAGGTACGTAACTAAGTAATTAGTTCTGCTTCGAGATTAAATTAAGAGTTGAAAAATATGTTAACAAGTTATGAATTCAAAGTAGTTTATTATAAATTTAGGGAAAATCAACAATTTGGTCCCTCAATTATTAGCGAAATATCAATGTAATCCCTTAATCGCTAAATCATCGAATTAGTCCCTGGAAATAACTGTTTTTAGTTGATTTGCCCCCTCCGACCGTTTTCCGTTGAGAATCCGGCGAATGCTCCGATTTGACATGGGTAAGTTTGTCATTTCACATTTTGGTCCTATTCTTTTTGTCCTATTTAATTGGTTTAGTCTTCTTCTTCTTCAACGATACAAGAAATTGAATAGAGAGCAGGTTTGAAGAGATTGAACAGAGAGCAGATTTGAAGAGATTGAACAGAGAGCAGATTTGAAGAAGAGAGAGTTCTG